GCTTCGAAATTGGGCTTGAAAGACAGAGCAAAATGAAGCCTGAGAGCTTTGCTCCGGCTATTCATAAGCGCTACTAGGTGAAACCAATTCGCTAAAAAAAATTTCAGTTTTCGTTCTCGAACTGTAATATCAGTCTGAATCAGGGATCGAATTTGCAGCTCAAGCAACAAAGAAACGTGGAAACTGACTTCAGGCACAAAATGACCGGGGGATGTAATTTCCTCGGCTTCCAGGTTCTCGAGTTACTGAGCTGAATTATTCGGACATACATCTCTCGAATACCACGAAGACCAGGAAAGTTTATTTCTACTTCGCTTCGTGAAATAGCAATGAGGAAGAATCGACAGAGAAAAAATTGCAGAACCAACCTGGTAAGGTATAAAACTGCATATGCATCGACAGCTGAGGTCAAGGTACTGGAAAATGACTGGGCAGCACACAGTGAGTGATCGAGTACCTCTGTCTGACAGTGTACAGGTCAACCACTCATCCTCCAGTCCAGCCCCTCACTTTCACTCCTCCCCTTCTACCTCACCCTCATGGCAATAACCTTCACACCACCTATCGAGTAACATTCGGCACAGTTGGTGCACCTCCAGCAGCACCATTTAGAAAAAACCAAGAGACAATATATGGAAATTCCCTCTGCTTTTTGCTGCTCATGAGAGACGGAAGCATTCGGAAGTAGCACGTATGGTAAGCCTTTATCCATAGGCGGATCCAGGACGGTCTCCTGGAGAGGGTGGGGAGCGAGGGGGGCGGGGGGCGCGAAAGAGAGTTTTCTTCAGTTTTAACTTTATACCCAGGCTTTTGTAGCACTGGTTTTTATGCCCTGGATCTGCCTGTGCTTTTACCAGGTTGTCCAGGAATCCCTGACGGCGAAAGATACCTGAAGAACAAACTGAGAGGGATTTTATGCCTCGGGATTTGCTTATAGCAGTCTACCACCGAAGGAAATCCACGAACCCTAAACAGACTGGTCTGCTTACTTATGGATATGAACAAGTCGGTTGAAACCTATGAAGCGCTGCTTATCACTCCATTAAGAGCCCCTGCTTCCCGCTACATTAAACTTCAACACCACCACCACTTTGGAGAGTTTCGCTGTAATGTCAAGCTCATTTTGTCAAGCAAGCAAAAAATGATGCGGGTAATTTGTCAGGAAATGCAGCTAGGAAGGACCAATTCATGAATCTCCAAGCTTCTAGTCGTGCTGATTGCCGCTATAAAAGCAGAAGTCTCCCGCTCGGACTAGAAGCACTTGCAAAAGTGTTTACAGCTAAGGGATGAAACACAGGGATGCATCGTAAAATGTCTTCTTACAAATGACACTTAAGACCAATCCCTCTATTCTACTATTTCCTGCTGTAATGAAACAACTGATGCAAATTGTTCTGATCATGGCGTTCGCGTAAAGTTACATATTTGCCTATCGCCCCTGTTTTCCACAAAAGTCTGGCAGCTCGAAAAGCAAATACGGGTGCAATTGAGAAGTTGGTCACTGAGCACAGGGGAAAAAAAAACGCACCGGAGGGGGGTAGCTCGCTAATGCGCTTTTGCTGTGAACTATGGCGAGTGCTCAATTCATGAATAACCATCAGCCACGTGTTCGTTATGATGTCATCAACAATTTTAAATATTAAAAATGCCAAGATTTTAAGACATTTCCCGTTCTCTAGTTTCAAAAACAGCTCATATTTGGAAGTGTGTTTATGAGGCATAGAAAGCCGCAGCAATGCCTCAAAGCTCATTTCAAGCCGCTCAACTCGTGAGATCAATAGCACTAATGCTCGAAAATCTCAACTTCCACAGCTCGAATCGATTTAAAGTTTGAAGAAAACTGGCTTGGATCTGAGCCTTACATCAGTGGGGATCTTAGCTAGATTGCCGTCCATTTACTGTACAATATTTGTAAAAATTTTGCAATAGTTTAAGCTTATAGATTTCCCCGGTTCCTGAATAATAAGATTACCCCAAATTTGAAACTAGTTCACAGATCAGGACCGGATTCCGAAATTAGGTTATTCGGCTCGGACGACTTTAGAGAATTCCCTCAGAATTTCACCCGCATTTTTATGGCTTTTGAAGTACCACAACCTATCCTAATGTTAACGTAGCGTAACAGGTTGTTTGTTAAAAGCATGACTTGAAATAAGCAATCAAAGATTACGTTTCAAAATTCAGCTACTTAGGCTTTGTTTTTGATTCGAAATTCAATTAACCGGACAGATAGATAAATACAGGAGACCGCACCGTAATGCGGTTTTATTCGGGTAAAGCATTGGTGAAAAGAACGCATACTGAATGTTCTGAATTAGTTAAATAGGGAGGATGTGCATGAGGTAACCTAACATAATTTTACTTAAAAATATACCAAGTGGGGCTGAAAAGAGACATAAATTTTGCGGTTTCTTTTTTAAACTTGATCCTCCCCCCTCCCTCCCCCCCGCCCCGCCTCGAAAATCAACCATATAATCCCTCTTGGCAATCAAAAAAAATTGAGGTGATCACCTGCCCAAGGATGCAAAATTTAAGCGATTACAGCCTACCTATATTCAAAATACACTCTAAAACGCACAGTGCAGTTCCCTGTTGCTGCGCGATCGACATTCTCATTCTGATGTGACGACTACTCAGTGCCTTCACAAACCTGTTCAGTACTACAAATGCATCTCAAATATATGGCACAAATGATTTCCCTCGATTAGCTAGTCACTGCGTAGTAGCGAGAACTCAAGCAACAATTTTCGAGCAGATTTTACGGTGGATGAGGAGGAGGGTGCAAAGTCTGACTTTTGTCGCTTTGTACGCTGAGGCAGCAAAAACATAACACGTCATTATCATATCACTCTGTTCATACAGAAAAAAACCGGCAAAAACAGCAAACTGTCATGACAATATCTACAAAAATTTCAAAATTTATAATAATGATAATAATGATAATGATAACTGTAATGAAAAAAGGGACGTAAGTGGGATAGCGGAGAGAGGGTCGGTGGTGATAAAATTTTTGGGAAAAAAAAGCGATGATAAGTGAGAAAAGGTATATGTCGATGTGGCGTCGTTGCTGCCGTTGACGTTTACAGAATTACTGTCGAATTGGCGAGGAGGACAAAAAAGAAAAATCTATTGCGCTTCCGAAAATATATCAAAGAAGCGGTTAGGAAGATTGCTGGAGGGGGGAAACAGGGGCGCACAAATCAGAATATTGTAACAAGCGTAAGGTATTAAAAAAAAGTAAAAACTGTCAGTCACATGTCGGATGAAGTAACAAATTGAACTGCACTGGGTTGAACATTCATTCTCAGGCGGCACACCCTAGTCACAGCGAGAAACAATAATAATAAAAACCGCTTCGTGTTTCACTCTTCGAAGTGCACCACCGTGACAGCAGCACTTCGCCAACAGCGACGAAACGCACCTGTTTTGTTGGCAACGCTGCCGACGAAGGGGTGCAGAGAGTTTCGAAGGGTTTGCCTGAGAGTTTCGTTGTAAATGCAAAACGAAAAAAAAAAAA